CTCTCTCTCTCTCTCTCTCTCTCTCTCTCTCTCTCACACACACACACACACACACACACACACACACACACAGAGGCACTGGCATGTATGTACATGGAGACATACACAAACACACTTGTATGTATGTACATTCAAACAAGATTCTAGAACTGGGTGGAAGTTTTGACCAGTCCATTCATTTATCAGACAGATGAGGAAACCATGACCCACAAATTTGCTGACAAGAAGGGCTTGGACCACCCAGCTGGATGTTTAGCACACTGGAAGACCATCTCTTGCTTTCCCTGTATTCTGGAACCATGCGGTTATCAGGCTCACATTGAGATTCTTAAAGAAAGCCAGCTGAGTGGGCTCCTCCCTCTTCCTTTGGAAACAGTGGTTATATGTAGCCCAGGCTGGCCTTGAACTCCTGATCCCTGGGCCTCTACCTTTCAAATTCTGGGATTCCAAACATGTACTGGGACACCTGGCTGCTGCTCCTTATTGTTATTTTTAATGTTCTTTCCCAGGAAAAAGGAAACAAGTGCCTATGACCAGTTCTGCCTGCCTCCAACCTGAGGAGGTCCTTACAGGACTCCAGGCCTCAGCCTGACTCCAGCTCTCAGTCCTGAAAACAACTCTTTTAGTTCAATTCAGATTCTCCAAGACTTTGAGGTGCCAGAATAGACAATGAAGGAGGTCTTATAGCTAGGACGGGACAGTGAAAGGGGTCTGACAGCTAGGACAGGACAGTGAAAGACATATTACAGCTAGGTTGTTTGGACACATGCTCATGTTGTTTAAATTAACGTATGAAATTGTGGAAAAGCAGTATGTTGTACACACACCAGAATACATGGTACTGCAAAAGGCAGTGCAAGTCCTTGAATCCCTGACACTAAGGCAGGCTCACCAATGGTGAAGTTCAAGAATAATTTAAGAGTCACAACTTAAGGTTAAAAGAAAAATCACTAATGTTTTTTATTACAGCACAGGGTTTCTCTGTGTGACTCTGGCTGTCCTGGATGTTGGTCTGTAGACCAGGCTGGCCTTGAACTCAGAGATCTGATTGCCTCTGCCTCTCAAGTGTTTGGGTTAAAGGTGTGCACCATGATTCCTGGCCTTGTTTAAGAATGTAACTGCTCCAAAACAAATCAAAACAAAACAAACCCTCTCTCTTCTTCAGTCCTTGGAAGGAAAAGGAAAGAGAAGAGGCACAGGTGATGGCTTTGTGGGACAGTTTCACTTCTTGCTTGTAAAAGCCCTTGTCACCTTTGACTGTTGCAATCTGATGCAGAAAAAGGTGAATGTGTCCCTGTGGTTACAGTAAACAGTGTCACTTTCAAAGCTGAACTCAAGAAACCTACAGAAGCTATGGACAAATGTCTTCATTTCCAGCTAATGTTGACCCTAAAATAAGCAGAAAGTGTCACCCACAATCATACCAAGCAGACAGCGACTGAAAGGGAACAGGGAGGAAGAGATGCATTCTTCCTGCAAATCCAGAGTTCAGTTCTGAATACAGAGCAGGCATTTCCAGGTCAGTGAGTCCATCTCTGCTCCAACTAGAAAGGAATCTACCCTGGGTGACAATGCATTGTCACTGGGTCATATCTTTGTCATCTTCCAGCCACAGCATTCCTGGTGTTCATTCTTTTCTACCATGTAAAGTTATCAACAGTCTTACCCATCTGTGAACCCTACCAATAAGGAGTGACCTGGCAAGACTCACCCCTGGGTGCAGTAGTGGCATGGATATTATGGGCGTCACTGGCTACATTCTGACTGTTTTGAGGCTCATTCTACAAGAGGAAACTTTAACCTGATGCTGTAATCTGGTCAAGAACATATGGCTGGGAACTCACAGGCTCCAGAAATGAACCTACTGAAGTATTGTGACAAATGGACATAGTATCAGGCTGTCTTCTGTATCTCCATGCTGGTGAAATGGTGCAGCTCTATGACCAAAGCAGAGAGGTCTCTCTGTACAGTGATGGTGGTGACTGCAGAGTCACCACTGAAGTAGAGAACAATGTCTGTGCAGTGCTTAGCAACAAATAGGCTGTATTGCAGCCCCTCCTCCCAGGGTTCAGGGACAAAGAAGAAGAGGGGATGGAAAGATTATAAGGTGGGAGGAGACTGGGGAAAATCAGCACCTTCTGGACACTCAAAGTAGCTGTGGTTGTCTGTGCAAGGTCAAGCCAGTTCATGTTCTAGCCTGGATGGGAGAGGCACTCACAAACCCTCTCCCCTAGCTGAGGAGCTGTTGACAGATGGTGGCTGATAGTGCTCAGAGAGGGTCGTGGGGATTCTGTCTCTGGGATGAATCATACTGACCAAAAGCAACTTGGGAAGGAAAGAGTTTGTTTCATTCACACATCCCTGTCACTGTTCATCATCAAAAGCAGTCAGGACAGGAACTCAAACAGGGCAGCGACCTGGAGGCAGGAGCTGATGCAGAGGCCATGGAGGGTGCTGCTTACTGGCTAGCCTACAGTCCACTATTATAGAGGCATTTCCTCAATTGAATTCCTGCCTCTCAGATGACTCTAGCTTGTGTCAAGTTGGCATAAACCCAGCCACACAGAGTCAGTTTTCCTCGGGGGTGTGGTCGATGGCAGGTTGCCCACATTCCAGTGGAGGGCCTCACACCTGTGTGAATTGAGAAGCACTAACTGGACACACTGGATTAGTCACCAAAGTGACATGAAGTTGGGAAGGGAGTTGGGGAGACAGTGAGTTGTGTCTGGGGAGGGGGAGAGTTAATTTGATAAAAACACATTGACTGTATATTATGAAATTTTCAAAAATATTTTACAAATGGTCATGAGGATTCTTAATTTCAGAGTTTTGCCCTCTGAGAGGCATAAGTCACTTCTTGCAGAGCCTGTCAGTTCCTTCCCAGGGGCTCATGAGGACTAGCAGTGTTTCCCCAGCAGCAGCTGGACATGTGATCAAGAGGGTTAAACCTTGTGATCTGGGCATTCACTGGCTCAGACAGTGTGATCACTAGCATTGGCCTCATCTGGATGAGTGACACATAAGACCTCTTTAAAACACACAGAAGGACATATAAGAGGTACAGATGAGCTGGGCATTGTGGCACACTATAATCTCATCATTCAGGGGGATGAAGCAGAACGATTGCTATGAGTTGAAGGCTAGCCTGGCCTATGTGACTATGAGAACCTTTTCAAAAATAAAAGGGGTTAGTGAGATGGCTCAGTGCCTAAGGTGTTGGTTGCTAAGCCTGGTGACCTGAATTTGATCCCTGGGACTCACATGGTGGAAGGAGAGAGAGCCACAACACCTACAAGTTGTCCTTGGACCCCATATGTTCAGACACATTAAATAAATGTAATTGGATATTTTAAAGTATAATTAGCTTGGCCCTCACCCAGATCTACTCAGGACCCTCAGCTTGTCTCTTGTAATCCTATGCAGGCACTTATGTGAGGGGCCTTTAGCAGCTAGTTCCCTCAGAAATGCCTTAGTGTGGGTTTCTATTGCTGTGAAGAGATGCCATGACCATGGCAAGTCTTACAATGGCAAACATTTAATTGGGGTGGCTTGCTTACATTTCAGACGTTCAGTCTATTGTCATATTGGGGAGCATGGCAGCATGAGGGTGGACATGGTGCTGGCTACATTCTCACCAGAGAGTTACAGGAAGTGGACTGGAACTCTGTAGTATGATGAGCATATGAGACCTCAGAGGCCCCCTCCACAGTGACACACTTCCTCCATCAAGGCTACACCTCCTAATAGTGCCACTCCCTATGAACTTATGGGGCCAATACATTCACCTACCACAGTCAGTGTCACTAAGGGGGCCTCTGTTACCAACCAGGCCCTGAAGGCTGAAGACTGTGCTTTTTGTTAAGAGCAGGCTTCTGATATGAATGACACAGTCACAGCTTCCAGAACCTTCCAAAATAAAATCCCTTAAAGCCACCTATAGCTTGTGACCATAACCATGGGCAGAGCCAATGTTCCAGTTATTTCCTCAGTCTTATATTCCTTGCTCTCTGCAGAAATTCCAACAGTGATTCAGTGTGTGTGAGGGGGGGGGGAGAAAGAGAGTGTGCAAGTGCATATGCATGACAAGTGCCTTTTAGAGACAGAGTCTCATCATGTAGCCCAGGCTGGCCTCAAACTCATCATCTTCTGTGTCAGACTCCCAGGAATTGGGATCACAAGTGTGGACCACCTTTCTTGATGAACATCCACTCCTGTTGGGCAGGGAGAGGTTGGCATGGAGACAGATTCCTTCTTTATGGTGATCTGGAGAGTGGCAATTGACTGATAATGCAGGTGGTTACAGCTGGACAGAGTGACAGATCCCTGCAACATCAGTAGTCGGGAAGACAGGGCTGCAGATTCCCAAGTTCAGGTCTATCCTGGCAACATAGTGAGATCCCACATTAAAGAAAGATATGAACCCTTCATCCTTAGTGACAGAAAGACGGGGTCAGGGTTGGAGGGCAGTGAAACTGTTGTGAATGGTGCCTTGGATGATGGCCACATGGGTGTGCAACGTAGAACACAGGCACCAGTGAGACCCATAGGCTGAATTTCAAGGTCGCAATAGCCTGAGCAGACACCTCATTATAAATTCCGGTATGGACCTGCCGGGCACACACCCACCCCAGCAGTGGTGAAAGTAGATGTCAGTCATCTTTAAGATGTTTCTCACTTGCTCTTCATGTTTTAGTGAACTGTGTGGATTGCTGATTACCATCTAGAAGACTATAAAACCATTTTTCTTTCAGTAACAATGAAAGATCAATAAAAACAAAACACCAATAATATAGTTAAAATGCTTCCTGCAGGATGAAGGTTTGAGAATCCAAAAGAAAGGTCCTGTTGAAACACCAGTGTAGCAAGCCCAGAAGCCATAAACGTCAGAGGCAGAGGCCTAATTCACAGAGCCCTGCCCTTTCTAGGAAAGAGAAACTAGCTGTGGATATAAGGTGCAGCTGGCTCCAGAGGCTGTGCAGCAGTCAGAAGATACAGCTGGCCTGAGGATGGAGAACGGACTCAGCAGGACCTCGGCCTGGGACCTGGACAAGTTCATAGAGGTTCACCTCCTTCCCAACACCAGCTTCCGAACTGAGGTCAAGGCAGCCATCAACACCATAAGTGCTTTCCTGAAGGAGAGATGCTTCCAAGGCGCTGCTCACCCTGTGAGGGTCTCCAAGTTGGTGAAGGTGAGGCCCCCTCAGCCTGAGCTGACCTCAGTGGGGAGGGAGAGGACTCTGAGGACCCAGGCTGCAGCCCTGAGTGGGGAGTGAGTTACCTACCTTCTCTGTGGCCCAGTGTTCTCATGTGCATCCCAGCTGGGGCACAGTGTAGAGAACAGAGCAGAGACCCTGTCTGCTGCATCGCTGGACTGATAGAACCTCATTGCCCATGTCCCCATCTGTCAAATGGAACTTCCTGACAATGGTACCTAACTCAGTCACTGTGATGGCTACTGGAATGTCATTTTGTAATGTCAACTCAACACTGTGGGCTGTGCAAGAGTGTTAGTGAGTGTGCTCAGCATTTTATTTAGGGAGGCTCTTCTCAGCATCATTATTTTCTCAAAACTGTTCTCTTTGTAAATTCAACTCTCTTGATTTAAGCTTTTATTCTGTGACTTTTCAGTTTGTCACACAGGCCGTCTTCATGCAAGCATGTGGTATACTATTGGTGTATTCCCTTGACAGTCTGCTAACAATGGGATCATGACAGTAGTTTCATGTGTCTGTGTTAATTTACTCACAGTTACTCTTGCCCATGACCATCCCATCCTTTACCCCTGACACTGACCTCCCGGGAGAGTCTCTCTGATGGCATGTCACCTGTGTGCACCTAGATCTCACATCAGAGAACATGTGCTCTTTAGTCTTTCCCCATTACCCTTCCTTGCTCCTCACATCCTTTAGGTGCCTCCTCTGTCTCCCCGACATAGTCACCCCTCTACCACAGACAGACAGACAGATACTCTTTCTCATTCTCTCTCTCTCATACTCTTTCTGTCTCTGTCTCTGTCTCTGTCTCTGTCTCTCTCTCTCTCTCTCTCAGCCATATTTAGATCTAGACACAGATGTTCATCATTTTGAGTCTGGCTGACCTCCTGTACCAGGAGAAGATCCAGAACAGTCTATTTTCCTACATAGATTCTAATTTCACTTTTCAGGACTGACCCCCATGTGCTAGATTTCTCTATCCAAAAATCTCCCTGGGTGGTGGATTCCTAGGCTGTTGAAGGCCTGGACTGCTGGGTGTGGCTCTGCCTGTTGCCTGTCATTCTCATTCTTGTCTTTCAGGGTGGCTCCTTAGGCAAAGGCTCAACACTGGACCTGGTGGTGTTCCTTAACAATCTCCACAGTTTTGAGGATCAGTTAAAGAGACGAGGAGAGTTCATCCAGGAAATTAAGAAACAGCTGTATGTGTTGCAGCGAGAGAAACTTCTTAGAGTGAAATTTGAGGTCCAGAGTTCATGGTGGCCCAACCCCCAGGCACTCAGCTTCAAACTGAGCTCCTTCCAGCATCAACAGGAGGTGGAGTTTGATGTGCTGCCGGCCTATGATGCCCTGGGTAAGCCAGTCAGAGCCTCAGCTCACCCTTCCATGTGTCTTCCACCACTCTGGCATTTCTTTCTCTGTGTGTTTGTGGGCGGGTTGTTCACATGTGTGCAGATCTATGCACATGTTTGCAGGTATGGGTGAAGACCAGAGGCCAGTTTTGGATGTGGGTTACTTAGGAATCTGCTTTTGGTGAGAGGCTGACCTGGAATTTGCTGGCCCATCTTCATGGGTGCTGCAGCATGCAGCTGGAGTCGGGTGGAGTTTGTGCTGTGATGGAATTGCACACACAACCTCGGGCAACCTGGAGCCTCAGCATGTGTATCAGGTACAGCACAGGGGTCAGGACAATTGCCTAGTCATGTACCAGGTGTTAGTAAGAGAGGACTTGTGGCTGTAAAATATATTCAGGACTTCACTAAGGCATCTGCCACTCCCTACAAAACAGCCTGGTTTGTTTGTCTGTTTGTGTTGGGATAGGTTGACCTTTGCCCTGGAGCTGGCTGATCCGACTATCTTGACAAATAGTGAGCCTGAGGGATCCCCCTGTCTCCACCTCCCCAGCACTGGAATTTCAGGTGTGGAGACCCTACAGCTTCTTATGTGGGTGCTGGGAATCCACTTTTGAGTCCTTATACTTGTCCATCTATTCCTTTAATGGGGCCATCTCCCCAGCCCTAGGGGCATCCTACTGAACACATGCAGGGAGATGAGCTCTCTTTGTGACTAACAGTGGGACAGAGATGTAGCTAAAAATTAACATCTGTTGCATCTTCAATCACAGAGAATAAAATTCCAAGCCTGTGCTGAGTCTTCCGTGCGTGTGTGTGTGTGTGTGTGTGTGTGTGTGTGTGTGTGTGTGTTCCAAAATTACAAATTGCCCATCCATTAATTTGGAGACCAGGCCACTTGCCCTGGGCTTAGGAGAGCCATGGGAACAGAGTCTCAGGCAGCAGGGAATGGGAGGCCAGCCTGGGAGCAGGAGCAGACAGCATGCTGTGGGAAGCTGCAAGAGGGTTAGATCCCTGCAGAGTGGAGGGGACCCAGAGGGGGTGACCCAGAAATGAGCTGGGAGGGCGGCTCCCCAGAAGCCTGTGTTGTCATGGACTCCCCAGCCTCAGGCAGCTTTGCAGTGGGGAAGTGGGACCACCACAGAAGGACCACCTTGGAAATGGCAGTGTGGGGGACAGCCCAAGAGGGGACCTCAGTCACATCCCTACCCAAGATGACTTAGCCAATGAGCCCTACTGTTTTCTGGGTTCTGAAGTTGAAAATAAGCACTTGAGACCCTCCTGGGTCACTGAGTGAGTGACTTGGTGTGTCCCCAAACCCATAGTAGGTGATTGTGCCATGTGTCAGTCTCGAATCCTGATGATATAGCCTGCTCTAACCATGGCCACATGTATGCACACAGCTAAGGTACAGCTTGCTGCCTGCCTAGTCTAGCTCAAATGTATACATGCATCTACACACAGACACACACTCACATCTATTCCCTAGCCTGCTGCCCACACACACACACACACACACACACACACACACACACACACAATGCTGCTCTCAGGACTAGGCAAACAAAGCCTCATGGTACTAAGTTAGGCACTATGGAAAGTCATCCAGAGGAAACACACAGTGACTGGGGAGACAGCTTAGTGGATAAGGACAATTGCTTGCTGCACAAGCATGAGGACCATAGTTCAAATCCCCAACAACCACTTAAACAAAGAGGACCACACATTGATCTGTCACTTAGGCCCTACATGGCCAGAGACAGGAGAATCTCTGTGGCCAGCTGGTGGCCAACTAGGATTCACATTCACAGAGAGACACTGCCAGGGATAAAGTGACAAACTATAAAGGGGGACACTTTATGTCATCCTCTGGCCTCTTAGCATACATGTATACTTCTTCTCAAACACACACAAACAATATATACACCATACAAACATAGGTCAGAGACTCTGTAAGCATGGGATACATGATGTACAAATGCAGCAGACTGCTCCACAGTAAATCTGACACAAGCAGCAGTGTACACACATGACAAGCCCTGTGCACAAGACACCGGACACCAGAGCATGGTTGGTCATTATTAGATGACCATGCACTCCTCTAGTGTGTGTGACCACAGTGAGCTGTTTCCTCCCAACACTGTCTCCAGGCCTGTGAGGAAGACACTGTTCTAGGACAGTTGGGGACAGAGACTTTCCATGTCCACATGGTGTATGCTGTATTGGGGTGTGGTGGGGCACATGGATGTATGGGGAGTGATGTTTGCTGTGGTAAAACTCTGCCCTGTTCATTGAACCCCACAGTCTGTGAGTCTGTCACCCCAGATAGACCAAAGAACCCCAGAGAAGAGCTGGGGTATTTGCTGAATGAAGCCTCTTTATAGGTCAACTCAACTACATCAAGCCTCACCCCCAAATCTATGCTGACCTCATCAGGGAGTGCACCTCCCTGGGGAAGGAAAGCGAGTTCTCCACCTCCTTCACGGAGCTCCAGAGAAACTTCTTGAAGAGACATCCACCCAAGCTAAAGAGTCTCATCCGCCTGGTCAAGCACTGGTACCAACTGGTATGGGTTTTTAACATCCCCTGTGGCCCTGTCTGTTCAAGGGGTGGAGAATGGCAGGGGTGATGAAGAGAAGGGAAAATGAGGAGCAAGGTGGGAGGGAAGGAGCAGTGGGAAGAGAAAGAAACAGTTGAGAGGTGAAGGGGAAGTCAAGGGAGGGCGATGTTGTAGGAGGGAGAAGGAGGGAGAGAGAGAACCTGGGAGGAAGGAGGAATTTCCATGCTGGTTATGAATGATTTCTTCTAGTCCAGTTTCCAGTCAACTACTCACTCTTCAGCTGCATCTACTTCAGTGTTCAAGTGTCATTGTCATCTTTGGCTTTCTCTTTCTCCTTCTTTTTTGCATTATTTTGAGACAGGTAGCTACTGATGTCCTGTAACTCACTATGTAGACCAGGCTTGCCTTCAGCTCACATCTGTCTCCTAATGCTGGGATGAAAGGTGTACACCATCACACCCAATTTTATCTATGGATTTCTAGATTTTTTTAAAGCATGCTGTTACGATAAATCTTTCTGCCAAAAGCCGCCTGAGCCCCACCGCCACGTGTGAGCTTTACGCCAGCTGCCTGCCTGAATTAGGGCCCAAATGAATACCCAGAAACTTGTATTAGGTTCAAAGCTGCTTGGTCAATGACTAGGATTCTCATGTTAGCTCAGTCTCAATTGCCATAAACCTATATATTTTATAGACTTATCTTATCGGACACCTTATCGGTGTCCCTCCTTGCCGGTGGATCACTTTGTGCCGCTGGAGCAGGAGCGGAGGTAAAAAGAGAGCCCTTCCTGTTTCTCCTTCGCTTAAATATGAGTCTCCTTGCTATGTCACTTCCTGCCTGGATCAGCTCTTCTCTAAGACACTTCCCAGAATCCTCTTTGACTCCTACTCCTGCCTAACTTGCCGTTTCATTGGCCAAACAGTATTTTATTTCACAATCAATAAGATGAACATACACAGAAGTACATGCCCCATCAGCATGCACTGCTTATTACTATGGCTTTCATTTTCCTGATGAGTCAAGCTATGGTTTCCTTAAGCATCCATCCGGCAATATTTCTGGAGTTTTTAATATATGTGTGAGATGTATCTGGTGTGGATATATGTGTGCCTGTTCCTGGGAGCACATGCCTATATGTGTGCATGTGTGTGCATGTGTGTACATAAACATGTGGAAACCGGAGAGCAATGTCAGGTCCTCCGTCACTCTCCATCTTTTATATGGAGGCAGGGTCTCACACTTGAACCCACAGTGTGCTGAATCAGCAGCTCTGGACCACCACATAGCCCTGGGGACCCCATTTCCTTCCGCTTAGGGTGTGCTTATGAGTCAGCTTCCCCAGAAGCCTGACATTCTCTTGTGTGCTGGGGATCTGAGTTCTAGTTTTCACCTTGCATAAAGAAGGGGCCACTTTACCCACTGGGCCATCTCCCTAGCCCCTCCCCAGTTATCTCAGAGCCTGTGATGAAACCTTCTATAGTGAGCATCATTGCTCTCCCACCCCACCCTCACTCCCTGGCTGTCACTCAAGTGTCATGATTCTTCTTGTGCCTGCTGATAAATGCTTTGTCTGTTGACCACACAGTCTCTAACTCAGCCACTCAGTCCTTGGCTATAGCACAGGAGCATCCATAGAAAGAATCTACATGAATGGGTATGGCTGTGTGCCAGAAAACTTGCAATGACATCAAGTGGCTGCTAAATTGACCCTGTGAGAAGTGGCCCCCACACAACAGCTGACAGCTCCGTTTTTCTCATTGCCTTTGACTTCTCAGAGTAAGAAGAAGCTGGGGAAGCCTCTGCCCCCACAGTATGCCCTGGAGCTGCTCACCGTCTATGCCTGGGAACATGGGAGTGGATTCCCTGAGTTCAAAATATCTCGGGGCTTCAGGACAGTCTTGGAACTGGTCATGATGCACAGGCAGCTTCGAATCTACTGGACAGTGTATTATGACTTTCAATACCAATATGTCTCCAACTACCTGCACAATCAGCTCCGCAGAGCCAGGTAGTCTGTCCCCTCATGGCTCAGATCCCCACAGGGAGGACCAGGCTGCAGCAGAGTGGAAATGGGGAGGTGGGAGCTCAGTGCAATGGAGCATCTCCTGTCCTGTCACTGTGCTGGGCACTGCCCTGCTGTCACCTGGTTGACATGAAGACCACCAGCCCTAGGAGGCAGGGGTGGGGTCTCCTGTCTGTAGATGAGGAGACCAAGGCTCTGACCTTGTCCAGACCCAAACAGTAGAGGGAGGAGGGTATATGGAGTGGGCACTGAGTCATCCAGTAATAACAGAAGTCATAATGGCTGTAAGGCACAGAAGACCAGTGCTAGACAATGCAGTAAAATTGTCACCTGAGGTTAGGACATATCTTGATCCTGTGTTGTCTTCAGCAGAGAGGCTGAGGGACCTACCCCAGGACACACAGCTACTAAAGGTTAGAGGATTGGACCGCAAGCCTTCCAGGTCATGGGCAAAGATGCCTCCAGGCTCGCTCAATGCTGAAGTGCAGGCACTCAGGACAAACTTTGGATAGGGGTGCTCTGCTGGGCTCCTCCACTGTCCCTCTGCAGTGGTACCTGGGGCTCTGGTCAGCTGGTCACTTTCCTCTCTGAATGTTGTTCTGCAGGCCTGTGATCCTGGATCCAGCTGACCCAACTTGGAATGTGGCTGGTGGGAACCCAGTGGGATGGCAGTGGCTGGCAGGAGAGGCTATGGCCTGGCTGCAATACCCATGCTTTAAAAACGTAGATGGTTCCCCAGTGCGCTCCTGGGATGTGCCGGTGAGACCTTGTCATCATCCTGTCCCCTTGCACACAGCTTTGGTCACTCCATCTATTTCAAGAATATTCAAACAAAAATGTGATCTTTCCAAAGGATTGTAAGTTGTCCTGCCATACTGCTTGCTTTACAGTCATTGTTACCTCAGATTGTCACATCACCCCTGCAGAGGCCCTGTCACTCAGTGTCCTAAAGAATGGCAGTCTCTGCCCTGAGTGTCTGCTTTGCGTTCAGGCTCCATCCTGTGTTCTTTATCATACAGGAGCTCACTGGATGCTCACACATGCTCATCCTGTGTTCTCTATCATACAGTGACTCACTGGATCTTCACACATGATCATTCTGTGTTCTTTATCATACAGCAACTTACTGGATCCACATCCATGCTAGTCCTGTGTTCCTATTATACAGTAACTCACTGGATGCACATGCATGCTTGTCCTGTGTTCTTATCACATAGTAACTTGCTAGACCCTCAGTAGGGCTCTACAAGTTGTACAAGTTGTCTCTCTCTGATGAAACAAGAGGCTCAGACTGGGAATATGGCTCAGTCAATAAAACTCTTGCCAAAAAAGTAGGGAAAAGGAGTCTGATTTCATCTCCAGAACCATGTAAATAAGCCACACAAGGAGATGTGCACTTGACATTACAGTTTTGGGAAGCAGGGATGGCAGGACCCTGGCATCCCTGGTGAGGGAGCATAACCTAGTTTCACAAACTTGTATAACTAATACAACTCAATATGCCAAAATGGACAGCACTTGAGGTGAATCGCATTTTCTGTTGATTGCACACACACAAACACAAACATATATACACATGTAAATATACATATACATGGACACAGACACACGCACATACACATAAACAAACACAGAAGTCAGTACAATAAGAAAGCTGATGCCACCAGCTCAGGGGCACTCAGCTAAGGAGAGTTGGGGCTGGGATTCCTGTGGGCTCTAAGGCCAGTGGTCAGGTCCACAAGGGAACCCATTTTCCTGTCTCATCGTCATGTGGTCAATGGGACTGAGGGGGAGGGCTGTGCAAAGAGGCCCAGAGGGAGCTGCACTTGGATTTTTTTCCTCTCCTGGGACATGGGACTTTCTGATGTTAGAGAACAGATGATGTCATCTGTGGATTCAGGATGGCACTTAGTTTGGGTACAGGGATGAGGGAAGCAAACCTCAGAAGCTCAGGAAGGAAGAGAAAAGGGACACAGGAGGGAGGCAGCTGTGGCTGCTCAGCCCTGTCTTCCATTGGACAGATCTGTTATTAAATGAGGAGACCTCAATAGGGCTATATACACTTTCAACCTGCTAAGCCTCCCCCAAATGTCCTAATGGCCATTTCCCCAAATGGTGATGTGCCATCCTTCTTCTGAGGGGCTCCAGCAACCAGTCATGGGGCCCACCCTCGGAGCTCATTTGCATCCCCTTCCAAGTAGAAATGGGGGCTCCTGATATGATTGTGTGTTTTCTGTTACAGATGGAAGTTCCTGTGCCAGACCAACAAGTTAGCTCTTTTTCTTTGTTTTTGTTTTGATGTGAGCTTCAGCTGTCTAGATCAGGCTAGCTTGGAGCTTGCCATCCTCTTGCCTTAGTGCTGGGATGACTACAGTGTAGGCCTGATGTGACCTGTCTTCCCTCCATCCCTAGGAGGATTGGACTTGCATCCTTCTGTGAGAACAGCAACACCTGCCCAGAGGATCCAGAATCAGGGGATGTGCAGACCAGATAGGGCAGGATGCTGCCCAAGGGAGCAGGTGTCCCTGTGCAAGGCCATACACTCTGAAGTACCTCTTACAGAAGGTACTCTGCCCAAGGCCCCAGTGAGTGAGTGTCCAACCTGGGGTCAGACTCCAGGCTTTTGACCCCTGCCCCTACACCCTTCCATTCTGCCCCATCACAGTCAGCCTGCTTCACCTTCCTTATCCTCTGACAGTGTTCTCAGGGGACAAGAGATTCAGAAGGGGAGGGGAGAACTCAAGCTTGACTTCTATGTACCTGTTGGAGGGTTTTGTCCAATGTTTAATCAACAACAATAAACCATAGCAGATGCCTGTGGCCAAGGGTATGTGAGTCTGCAAGAGCCCGAATAAAAGGAAATCAAATATTTCTTGGAGAACACTCACGAATAACAATAAGGTTGAGAGCTGCTCTGGTCTTCCATTCTTCCCTGGGTCAGTGGAAGCTGTGATCAAATCTTCAATTACCACACAAGAGCAAGAGAGACCCCTCCTCTTTCTTGTAAGAAATCATCTCCACACACATAAGCCACACCCTAAGACCAGTCCCAAAAATTATTAGTGGAATGAATTCCCACAATATATGCCATGAGTGTGAGAGATGAAACACAGAGGTATAGATGTGTGTGTGTGTGTGTGTGTGTGTGTGTGTGTGTGTGTGTTTTCATGGTTCAACTACATGTATTTACTAAGCACTTATTAGATGCCCCACACAGATGACTGAGCATTAACTTGTATGTCTTAATTATCTTTAACAGTGTACAACTAGTTAATAGCATTTATAAGATTAGGATACTGTAGTTTTATTCTTGTTAAGTTTGAGACTAAAACAATTGAATTAAAGCATTAAAATAAAACTTTAAACCAGACAAAACACATAACTTTAATATAGTCACAAATACAAAGAAATTAGACATATATCTTTAAGTTAGTTTCTGTTAGCTTGAATGGACATTAGGAATTTAGGCCTTATTTATCCACCCTATGTTGTTACTTATTTAAAATTTTCTAGAAGCCTGGTGTTGCCAGAGACATAAGCCCTCAGACATACATCTCTAAGTTAGCTTGTGTTAACCTGAGCATACCTTTATAACCTTAGGAATTTATCATCATAGAAAAATCCACCCTAATTCAAAATATCCTGGGAGACCTGTGGTTACCTTCATAGTCTAAAAGGAGATACAGTAATAACTGAAGGCTTTATACCAAGTGTCACTTGGATGAAGATGGTGGTGAGGATCCATGGCAGGTACTCTTTATCCCTAGTAAAGATGGCTGCCAGGCGCATGGTCCTTTTCATCCTGATGAAGCATCGGCTAAGATAGAGGCAGCCACATGGCTGCCATTTGCAAACATCAATTTTATGCCATATGTTGTAGTACACGCAACCTCATGCAACCTTCTCCTTCTCCTTCTCCTTCTTTTTGTTTGTTTGTTTGTTTGTTTGTTTGAGTCAGGGATTTTGTGTGGCTTTGGAGGCTGTCCTGAAACTAGCACTTGTATACCAGGCTGGTCTCGAACTCACAGAGAGCCATCTGCCTCTGCCTCCTGAGTGCTGGGATTAAAGGCATGCACCACCAACCTCTGCTTCCCATGCTTTTAAATAAGAGTCAAACCAAGTATATAGTATACTGTAGCAAATCAAAATTAGATGTGTACAATTTCATGATCAGCCTTTTGTTATAAGTTTTAAGCTAAACTGTGGTGATATCTTGCTTGTACAAATAAAGCCTGTCTGAGGATCAGAGAATGGAGCTTACAACTAGCTAACCATGGAGGCTTGGAGGTCTGTACAGACAGACAGGAAGTGAGATAGCTGGGCAGAAACAGGATAGAAGCAGGGAGAAACAGGAAATCTCTCTCTTGTGTGCTGACATGCTAAGGAGGTAAAGTGTGCTGTGGCTTGCTCCTTCTCTCTGATCTCTCAGCATTTCCCTCTCTATCTGACTCTGAATTTTTATTATCTAGACCAATTAAGAACTATTTACACTAAATGCTTTTTTGACCATCCCCAAGCATTTGGAATCTTGAGATACAGAGTTTACATAGAGCATGTGCTAATTTAATACACAAGTCAGTTAAAACATCCAATAACTGAGAACTATCCAATACAAACTGACTATCCAATACAAGTTAACTCTTTATAACTGTACAATCCACAGTGGGTATAATGTGGAATTTGTGTATAAAATATATGTTCCTTCTCCTTTTAAAGAGCCATGAACAAAAGCATTGAAGGGCAATCTCTATAGAATTTTTAGATGTAACTTTAGGCAATACCCATGGAGTATTTTTTTTAATCTTCAAAAGTTTTTTGGTAGTGACTATTATAGAACTGGAGTATCATGCTAGTATGATCTGTGAATTATCTGTGTCGACAAATATTCAACATGGCATTTTATTTAGTGGAACAATACTTTCTGTAGGCTCTTTGTTAGTAAGGAATTATTTCTGAGCTACTGCTTTAGCAGCAACATCATTTAATAAGATAACAACCTGGTCCACTTTAGGTGCCACACATTTCCTAAAAATTCAGCCTGGAGCAGGGCCTACCCCCTAGCAGTGACAAACAGATCAGAGCATACCCAATGATATGCGCCAAGATTTTAGATCTTGCTCTTTCAGTTTACCTACCATGAAAGATAAGCATTCCTTGCAGTGTTGATAAGATGAGCAGGAGAGAGTTTCTCCCATATAATGGATGACCAATAGCCGGGGAATATAAACAGGGTTGTCATACATACTTTACATCCTAATTGGAACCATGCCCCTTCCAGAAGTTGGTCCTATTTTAATTTCCTCCATGAAAGGACCACTGATACTGAGTTATTCCCACTTTGAGGGAAAAATGAGAAAACATTTAAACAAAACAAAAACCAGGCACACCAACAATAAGGACACTCTCAAGTCCTGGGACAGCTGAGCTGGCTCATGCTGCAGGCCCCAGATCCCTGCCTGCTATTCCATGAAACTTGGGTACTGTAGGGGCCTCTCTTTGCTTTCCAGCTGCTGGGAATAAGGGACTGGGGCCAGAGGCCTTGTGAGTCCAGTGAGATGCAAAGGAGGGATAAACCCAAGTGGCTGCTTTGGAAGGAATCATTTGCAGGGTATATTGTGGTGCCCTGCCCAGACCTCCCATCTCATGTCTGCCAGAACATTCTTTCTCTCCGTCACTGTCACTGTCTCTCTCTTTTTAAAAATCAATCAACATGGATCTTATTTTCCCTTTCTTGGGATCTTTCAGCACAGATTGTTGTGCAATATTAGTTAAAGATGTATTACATTTGTTTGTGCTGTGGAATGCTTAATGATGCAAAGATGTGTTGCATTCTTTTATATTGCATTTGTTTACCTTTGTGAAACTGTGTTACTGTACCTGTCTGAAACACCTGATTGGTCTAATAAAGAGCCAAAAGGCTAATAGCGAGGCAGGGGAGGATAGGTGGGGCTTGCTGGCAGAGAAAGTAAATAGAAGGAGAAAAACAGAGGGAGGAGCAAAGAGAGGAGGAAGCCTGGGGCCAGCCACCCAGCAACACAGCCAGTCACAGAGCAAGAAGTAAAGAAAGGTATACAAAATAGAGAAAAATCAAAGCCCCAAGGCAAAAGGGAGATGGGATAATTTAATTTAGAAAAGCTGGCTGGAAACAAGTCAAGCTAAGGCCAGGCATTCATAAGCATGAATGTGTGTTTATTTGGGAGCTGGGTGATGGGCCCCCGAAGACCAAAGTGAAAAAAAAAAACTAAACAAAACAACTATGCCATATTAATTCCACACTCACACTTAAGGTTTTGAACCCTTTTACTGTGAGAGGCCGGAGTTTCCACCCCCTAATTTCTATTTAAAAAGAAAAAAAAAAAAAAAAACTTTCTTACCTTCTGCAAGGACCGAGCCCACATTAGAAACCAGACTTCCTTGGTCTGCCATGGTCACTTTAGCTGGGGAAGGAACTAAGGGGGTTCAGAGCAGTGCACAAGGTTTAGGGTGAAAGATGGGGGGAAGCAATGCTGTGGGTACATCATGGGCCTGGGAGCCCCTGGGGATCTGTTCCATGTTTTAGAGCAGCTAGCTCACGCTGCCTCCCTGCTCACCCATCTCCTAGCACCCACACTTCCTGTAGGATCAGCTGGGTACACGGCTGCCAGCCTGAAAAGGTCCAGGGAGGGACAGAGGAGCTGGGACATGTCTGCCTTTCGCCAAAAGAGACTGAGGTCTAACTCTCAGGCTGCGGAAAAATCTTATTAAGAAATGAGGTTGTGCTAAATGATGGCCATTAGGATGGGTCCAGGCCCGAGGTTGCTGACTCCAGAGTGTGACTGAGACATTGGACACTGGGATGGCAGGTTGCACACATTCCAGTGGCTGTCTTCACACCATTAACTGGATTCACTGACTTATTCACTAAAAAAGTGACAGGAAATTGGGAGGGGAGATGGGCAGACCATAGGTAGGGGGGAGAATGAAGGGTGAATTTGATAAAAATATATCGAATGTATATAATGAAGATTTCAAAGACTATTTTACAAATTGGCCAGGAGGATTCTTAATTCCACTTTATATTGCCCTGTAAGAGGTACAGCCACTTCCTGCAAAGTCTCCCAAGGGGCTCCAGAGGAAAGTGTTTCCCCAGAAACAGCTGGGGACATGTGGCCAAGAGGGTTCAAGACTTGAGTTCTTACACTTGTGACCTGGGCACTTGCTGGCTCAGTCAAGGTGACCACAGGTATTGGCCTCATTGGGCTGAGTGACATATCAGATCTCTTTAAGAATGGCATCTCACAAGATGGCATGGAAGATGTACAGATGAGCTGGGCATAGTGGCACACGATAATCCTAGCACTCAGGTGGCTGAGGCAGGAGGATTGCTCTATGTTGTAGGCTAGCCCAGACCATAAAACTATGAGACCCTGCCTGAAACGTAAAAAGTAGTCGGTGAGATGGCTCAATGGGCACTAGTGTTTGCTGCCAAGCCTGATGGCCTGAGTTTGACCCCTGAGACCCATGTGGTAGAAGTTGTCCTGTGAACCCACATGTTCACACACATGAAATAAGTGCAATAAAATATTTTAAAGTATTATCACCTCTGCCCTCGCCCAGAACTACTCAGGATTCTCATAAAGTCACCTATGTTTAATCACCTCTGCCCTCCCCCAGAACTACTCAGGACCCTTATAAAGTCACCTATGTTTGCAGGCCATAACCATGGACAGGGTCAATGTTCCAGTTATTTCCACAAACTTACATGTCTTGCTCTCTGCAGAGATTCCAACAGTGATTCAGGGTGTATGTGTGAGAGAGAGGGGGGTGGGGCTGCTAGTGCCTGCACACTTGTTTTTAGAGACAGGGTCTCATCATGTAGACCCAGCCTGGCCTCAAACTCTTCATCTTCTGTGTCAGCCTCCTAGGACTTGGATCACAAGTGTGGACCACCTGCCCTGATGAACATCCACCAATGCTGGGCAGGGAAAGGTTGGCATGAAGACAGGCTCCTCCCTCATGGTGATCCTTCCTTGGCATAAGTCAACACTCTACATTACTGGAGATGGCAACTGACTGATAATGCAGGTGGTTACAGCTGGACAGAGTGACAGATCTCTGTAACCTCAGTAGTCAGGAGGACAGAGCTGCAGATTCCCAAGTTCAAGTCTATCCTGACAACATAGTGGGATCCCACATTAGTGAAAGATATGAACCCTTCATCCGTTGTGATGGAAAGTTGGGATGGGGTCAGAGGGCAGTGAAACTGTTGTGGATGATGCCTTGGATGATGGCCACATGGTGTTCCACTCAGAACACAGGGACCAGTGAGACCAGAAGGCTGAACTTCAAGCTCACCATGGCCTGGGCAGACAGCTCATTATAATGTTCCGGTATGGACCTGCAGGACCTGACACACACACACCCCAGCAGTGGTGAAACTGGATGCCAGCCATCTTTATATGTTTCCCACTTGCTCTCCATGTTTTAGCAAACGGTGTGGATTGCTGATAACCAACTAGAAGACTATAAAATCACTTTTCTTTGAGTAACAACAAAAAAAGACCAAGAAGGAAAAAACAAACAATATGTTGAAGATGCTTCCTGTAGCATGAGGGTTTGAGAAGCCAAAGAGCTGCCCTGCTGGTAAACACCACAGTGTCATGGAACCCAGAAATCATAGACCTCAGATGTAGAGGTGTGATTGCATAACCCCGCCCTTCCTGGCAGAAACCAGCTAGAGAGATAAGTGTCAGCTGGCTCCAGAGGCTGTGCTGCAATCAGAAAACACAGCTGGCCCCAGGATGGCACAGAAAGTCAGCAGCACCCAGACCACAGAGCTGGACAAGTTCATAGAGGACCAGCTTGTTCCTGACACCAGATTCCGTGCCGAGGTCATAGCGGCCATCGATGTTGTGTGTGCATTCCTGAGGGAGCGATGTTTCCAAGGTGCAGATCCTAAAGTGAAAGTCTCCAAGGTGGTGAAGGTGAGCCCCCTCAGCCTGAGCTGACCCCCATGGGGAGGGAGAGGACGCTGAGGATGCAGGCTGCAGCCGTGAGTGGGCAGTGAGTTACCTACCTTCTCTGGGACCCAGTGCGGTCATGTGCAGCCCAGCTGTGGCTCAGGACAGTGTAGAAGAAGTTAAATGTGACAGAGTACAGAATAGAACCCAACAACATCCCCTGCTGGATGACTGGACCGGAGGACATCATTTTCCGTGTTTCCCATCTGTCAAATGGGACCTCATGACAACAGTATGTCACTCACAGTCACTGTGATGGCTACTGTAATGTGGTTTTGCAATGCCAACTCAACTCCGTGGGGTGTGCAAGTGTGTTAGTGAGTGTGCTCAGCATTGTACTTAGGGAGGCTCTATGCTGTATTGCTTGATATTGGGTTGGTTTTTTTTTTTTTCAAAACCTTTGCCGTTGTGACTCAATTGTTATTTTAGATTTAATTCTGTAACTTTTTAAATATTGTTACAGGCTATCTCCATGCAAGCATGTGGTGTACTTTTAGTACTTAATATGTTGATAACATCTTGACAACCGTTTTGTTTGTTTGTGTCAACTGTCTCCTGCCCACTACCAACTTCCTACTGCATCATCTCTGATTTCATGGCACATATGTGAAGTTAGATCTAGATTTCACCAGAAAAAAAAGTGTGCTCTTTTGTCTCTCCTCATTACCCTTCCTCCCTCCTCACTTCCTTTAGACCCCTCCCTTACTTCCTCTTTGCCCCCCCTTCTATCACACACACACACACACACAGACACACAGACACACAGACACACACACGCACACACACACACACTTAAATATAGACTCTACAGACACACACTGAGATTGGTCACTCTGAGTCTGGCTTATCTCTCATACAACGAGGAGATCCAGAAGCATCTATTTTCCTGCATAGATGCTGATTGCACTCTTCAGGGCTGACTAGTATTCCACTGCCCATGAGCCAGATTTCTTTCTCTACCCATCCGTCTCTCTGGGTGATGAACCCCGAGGCTGTTGAGGGTCTGGACTGCTGGGCATGCCGCTGCCTGTCACTTCTCACTCTCATCATTGTCTTTCAGGGTGGTTCCTTTGGAAAAGGCATCGAGCTGAAAGGCAGGTCTGATGCCAACTTGGTGGTGTTCTTTAACAATCTCACCAGCTTTGAGGATCAGTTAAAGGGAAGGAGAGAGTTCACCCAGGAAATTAAGAAACATCTGCACACTTTACAGCAAGAGAAAAAGTTTCAGCTGGAGTTTCAGATCCAGGATGAACAACAGCCCAACTCCCAGGTGCTCACCTTCAAGCTGAGATCCCCTGAACTGCAGCAGGAGGTGGAGTTTGATGTGCTGCCGGCCTATGATGTCCTGGGTAAGCCAGTCAGAACCCGAGCCTGCCCTTCCACCTGCCTGTATCCCCTGCGGGTGTGTGTGTGTGTGTGTGTGTGTGTGTGTGTGTGTGTGTGTGTGTGTTGTGTGTGATATGTGGATTCAGTGTGCATTAGTGTGACCATGAACTTGAGGCTAATACACCTCAAGCCATCCCTCTTTTTTTGAGGCCTGGTCTCTCCCTGGCCTATATTTCCATATTAATCTTGACTGTCTGGGCAGAGCCCCAGAACCCTCTTGTCTCCACCTCCCCAGCACTGTGATTACAATCCTATGTCACCACGCCCAGCTTTTCCCTCAGTCCCAGGTTACAACATGGTTACAACACATATGCCAAGCATGTTCCTCACTGACCACCTCCCCAGCCCACACCTTCTATTCCTGAACTGAAAACATCTATCTTTTGAGAAATTCACCCCAAAAGACTGTCTATCTCTTTAGAGCTGAGCTGGGGGTAGGGGATTTTAGAATTTTGGGAGTGAGGAGTGAGAATCCACCAGAAAAGGACATAAAGTAGCAAACATGCTCAGTGAGGGGATGAAGGCACCTTAGATATCCCCCACTTACCAGTGATATTGCTGCCTGACTGTGTGTTTTGTCTTTCTAAACATGAGGCAGTCTGGATGTCACTGAAAATTAATAAATGATGCATTTTCTCCCAAAGAATAGGAAACCTCAGACTTGGACAGAGGCCTGGGAGGGCGGCTCCCCAGAAGCCTTTCTTGTCATGGACTCCCCAGCCTCAGGCAACTTTACAGTGGGGAAGTGGAGCCACCTCAGAAGGACCACCTTGGAAATGGCAGTGTGGGGGACAGCCCAAGAGAGGACCCCAGTCACATCCCTACCCAAGAGAGGACCCGAGGCACAACCCTACCCAAGATGACTTAGCCAATAGGCCCTACTGTGTGCTGGGTCCTGAAGTTGAAAATATGCACATGAGGGAGAGGCCTACCTGGGACACTGCATAATATGACTTGTCTTGTCCCCAACTCCATCAGTAGGTGATTGTGCCCTGTGTCACCGTCAGATCCTGATGGTATAGCATGCTACCACCATGGCCACATCTATGTACACAGCTAAGACACAGACTACTGCCTGCCTAATTTACTCAGATGTACATACACAGCACAACACACATCTATTCCATAACCTGGGGCCCAACTACTCTACAAGTTCAAGATGGACACACACACAGACACACAGACACACAGACACACAGACACACACACACCTGCAGTATCCTGCTACTCTCAGGTCCTGGACAAACATGATACTAAGTTAGGCACTACAGAAAATCATGCAGTGACAACACAGTGGCTGGGGAGACAGATCAGGGATAAGGGCAATTGCTGCACAAGCATGAGACCTGAGTTCAAATCCCCAACACCCACCTGAAGTTAGGAAGTACCACACATGGACCTGTAGCTCCAGAACTATGGGAGACAGAGCCAGTCAAGCTCCATATTCACAGAGAGACCCTGCCTCAAAGGGATTCGGTGACAGACAATGAGGCGAGATGAATAAAAAAAAAGAAAGAAATAAAAGGAAAGGAAAGGAAAGGAAAGGAAAGGAAAGGAAAGGAAAGGAAAGGAAAGGAAAGGAAAGGTCATGACTGCTCCCGGGTATGGTGGAGGAGAAAGTTTATTGCAGATAAAGGGGAGAGCATAGCCAGAGGCAGCGGTGTCTGTGAGAGTCCAGAGTGGACATGTCCAGGCTGAGCTGGGCCATGTGCAGAGAGGGGAAGAAAAAAGAAGAAGGGAAGAGGAGGACCAGGTGCAGCAGCCATGAGGACAAAGGTACAAAGCGGGTGGGGTGACAAAGGCGGTTGGAGTATGTAGAGAAGAGGAGCCCAGCCCTCGGGCCTAGAGAGCTCAGGGTAGGGGGTGGAGTATGAC